GGGGAGGTCCCCAATTGAATTTTAAAGGGGAGGGGCCCCCTTTAAAATCTTTAAAACCTTTAAAATCTTTAAAATCTTTAAAATTTAATTGGACCTCCATTTAAATTTTAAAGGTTTTAAAGGAATTTAAAGGCTTTAAAACCTTTAAAACCTTTAAAATTTAATTTGGGAGGCCCTCAATTAAATTTTAAAGCGCGCGGGCCCGCTCGAAAATCTTTAAAACCTTTAAAATCATTAAAATCTTTAAAATCTTTAAAATCTTTAAAATCTTTAAATCATTTAAAGGAATTTAAAGGCTTTAAAACCTTTAAAACCTTTAAAATCTAATTGGGGAGGTCCCCAATTGAATTTTAAAGGGCACGAGCCCCTTTTAAAGTCTTTAAAATCTTTAAAATCTTTAAAATTTTATTGGACCTCCATTGAAATTTTAAAGGTTTTAAAGATTTTGAAGTCTTTAAATTCCTTTAAAACCTTTAAAATTTACTTGGAGGCCCAGTTAAATTTTAAAGATTTTAAAGGTTTTAAAGGTTTTAAAGATTTTAAAGGGGGCCCCTCCCCTTTAAAATTTAATTGGGGACCTCCCCAATTAGATTTTAAAGGTTTTAAAGGTTTTAAAGCCTTTAAATTCCTTTAAAACATTTAAAATTTAAATGGAGGCCCAATTAAATTTTAAAGATTTTAAAGATTTTAAAGATTTTAAAGATTTTAAAAGGAGCCCCTCCCCTTTAAAATTTAATTGAGGGCCTCCTCAATTAAATTTTAAAGGTTTTAAAGGTTTTAAAGCCTTTAAATTCCTTTAAAACCTTTAAAATTTCTATGGAGGTCCAATAAAATTTTAAAGATTTTAAAGATTTTAAAGATTTTAAAGGGGGCCCGTCCCCTTTAAAATTGAATTGAGGGCCTCCCCAATTAAATTTTAAAGGTTTTAAAGGAATTTAAAGGCCTTAAAACCTTTAAAATCTTTAAAATTTAAATGGAGGTCCACTTAAATTTTAAAGACTTTAAAGATTTTAAAGATTTTAAAGATTTTAAAGATTTTAAAAGGAGCCCCTCCCCTTTAAATTTTAATTGAGGGCCTCCTGAATTAAACTTTAAAGGTTTTAAAGGTTTTAAAGCCTTTAAATTCCTTTAAAACCTTTAAAATTTAAATGGAGGTCCAATTAAATTTTAAAGATTTTAAAGATTTTAAAGGTTTTAAAGATTTTAAAAGGGGCCCGTGCCCTTTAAAATTCAATTGGGGACCTCCCCAATTAGATTTTAAAGGTTTTAAAGATTTTAAGGCCTTTAAATTCCTTTAAAACCTTTAAAATTTAAATGGAGGCCCAATTAAATTTTAAAGATTTTAAAGATTTTAAATATTTTAAAATTCAATTAGGGACCTCCCCAATTAGATTTTAAAGTTTTAAAGATTTTAAGGCCTTTAAATTCCTTTAAAACCTTTAAAATTTAAATGGAGGTCCAATTAAATTTTAAAGATTTTAAAGATTTTAAAGGTTTTAAAGATTTTAAAGGGGGGCCCTCCCCTTTAAATTTTATTGGGGACCTCCCCAATTAGTTTTTTCAAGGTTTTAAAGGTTTTAAAGCCTTTAAATTCCTTTAAAACCTTTAAAATTTAAATGGAGGCCCAATGAAATTTTAAAGATTTTAAAGATTTTAAAGATTTTAAAGATTTTAAAGGGGGCCCGTCCCCTTTAAAATTGAATTGAGGGCCTCCCCAATTAAATTTTAAAGGTTTTAAAGAATTTTAAAGGCCTTAAAACCTTTAAAATCTTTAAAATTTAAATGGAGGTCCACTTAAATTTTAAAGATTTTAAAGATTTTAAAGATTTTAAAGATTTTAAAGATTTTAAACGGAGCCCCTCCCCTTTAAATTTTAATTGAGGGCCTCCTTAATTAAATTTTAAATGTTTTAAAGGTTTTAAAGCCTCTAAATTCCTTTAAAACCTTTAAAATTTAAATGGAGGTCCAATTACATTTTAAAGATTTTAAAGATTTTAAAGGTTTTAAAGATTTTAAAAGGGGCCCGCGCCCTTTAAAATTCAATTGGGGACCTCCCCAATTAGATTTTAAAGGTTTTAAAGATTTTAAGGCCTTTAAATTCCTTTAAAACCTTTAAAATTTAAATGGAGGTCCAATTAAATTTTAAAGATTTTAAAGATTTTAAAGGTTTTAAAGATTTTAAAGGGGGGCCCTCCCCTTTAAAATTTAATTGGGGACCTCCCCAATTAGATTTTAAAGGTTTTAAAGGTTTTAAAGCCTTTAAATTCCTTTAAAACCTTTAAAATTTACATGGAGGCCCAATTAAATTTTAAAGATTTTAAAGATTTTAAAGATTTTAAAGATTTTAAAAGGAGCCCCTCCCCTTTAAAATTTAATTGAGGGCCTCCTCAATTAAATTTTAAAGGTTTTAAAGATTTTAAAGCCTTTAGTTTCCTTCAAAAAGCTTTAAAATTTAAATATGGTGTGCAGCATTTAAAATATAATAGGAAAAAGACGATTGCCAAATAGTACAGAAAGGTCCTTCGTACAGATCCCTAAATCCCTAGACCTGTGCCAGGCTGTGAAGTCCAAAGACTATGGGGAGATACGGAGGACTCTCCTTCGCTTGATGACGGGGTTCAGGGTTGAGGGTTTAGGGTTTAGGGTTTAGGGTTAGGGTTGCGGGATTTTTGGTTTAGGGTTTAAGGTGTAGCGATGCCCTTGATAATGCAGTTTGCAATACATGATTCCCTGGTTTAGGGCGTAGGGTTTACTTAAGGTGTTAGTGTGTTGGTGAACTAGTGTGTTAGTGTTAGTGTGTTAGTGTGTTTGCGTGTGAGTGTGTTAGCGTGCTACTGTGCTGGTTTGCATGTGCATGTGTGCATATGTGCCCGTGTACCTGTGTGCCTGTGTGCTTTTCAGTGAGTGAGTGAGTGAGTGAGTGAGTAAGCGAGTGTGTGTGTGTGTGTGTGTGAGTGAGGAAGTGTGAGTGAGTGTGTGTCCAACCCTGTAACCAAGGGTTTCAACAGTCGACCTCATTTCTTTTGAGCAGGGGCATTGGGCACTCCTTGGCAAACCCAATGCAATGAAGCTATGCCTTGGAGTGGGAAGCAGTTCGCTGAACTGTGTACGTGCAAAGCTGGCCCCCTGAGGCAGCAGGATAAGACAAGGCTGGGCCCCCTGAGGCAGCTAGATTAGATGCAAATGGCAGACAGTTCTTTTCAATGCCAACACCAGTTTGAAACAGCAGAGGTATTCAGGAGCATGATGTACTTCAGTGACAGAAGGCTTAGCCGGTCTAAGCTGATGTGGCTCGCGGATCAGAGGTACCGGCATTGGCGGTCAGGCAGGTTGCTTGTGTGTGTGTGTGGGTGGGGGGGCGTAGGTGCGTGGGTGCGCGGGTGCGCGGGTGCGTGGGTGCGGGGGTGAAGGGGTGCGTGGGTGCGTGGGTGCGTGCGCGTGTGCGCGGGTGCGCGGGTGTTTGGGTTGCGTGGGTTGCGTGCGTTGCGTGCGTTTCGTGCGTTGCGTGCGTTGCGTGCGTTGCGTGCGTTGCGTGCGTTGCGTGCGTTGCGTGCGTTGCGTGCGTTGCGTGCGTTGCGTGCGTTGCGTGCGTCGCGTGCGTCGCGTGCGTTCGCGTGCATGTGCCTCTTCCGATCAAGCAGTTCGAGGACCTGGAAGAAGTGGAACGACGACCTGGATCAAGACATTGGCACTTGGGCTCCCGCCTGAGCTTAACATGTCTCAGCGTTTCCTGCTAAATCACCTGTACTAAGCCCTAAGCCCTCCCACCCCAAGTAATCGTTACTTAGCCCTAGCCCTAAACCCGAAACTCTTAGACCCCAACCCCAAACCCTAGACCCTAAACCTTGGAACGAAATTTTGCTTCGGTGGACTTCGAGGACCTGGCTGAAACCTTCTGATCTTGAGGAAGGCGCTGTCTCTCTGTCCGCTGTTGTGTCGTTGTACGGTGCAGCCGGGTAGGGTTGGGGTTTAGGGTTTGAGGGTTTTAGAGTGTTAGGGTTTTAGGTCAGGATTTAGGGTTCAGGGCTCAGGAAAATTTAGGGCTCAGGGTTCAGGAGTGCCTGTGTTGAGTCCTGCCGGGTTTTGCTAGCAGATGTAGGGGGTTTAGGATTTCAGGTGTAGGGCTTTGGCTTTCAGGCATCCTCAACGCCGTGAGCGGATGGGCTTTGACAGCCACCGACAGTGCCTAGCCGAAGAACCTGCAGGCGTAAGGACGCAGACCTTGGCAAAGTGGTGCAAGGTGCTGTTCAATTAACTGTCTTCAGAGCTTTGCTGCCCTCCCTGATCGGCTGGCAAGCTGCCGACAGATCGCAGACAACTATTGTTTGCGAGCTGAAATTGTCTGTCATATGAGCTGCTGTCAGTTCCATAGCAGCAATTTTTCAGTTTATCCCAGAGATAGAGCATGTGGCCCATGGGGCACGCCAGCATCAAGTGGCACTTGACTTGAGAAGCACTCGCAGGGTTCATGGCCAGTTCGCTTTGGTGCCCACACGATCACAGGCTCCATATATGCGGCCAGTTCCCTCCCTTTCTGGGCGGCCCTTGCAAAAAACGGCCTCTCATGTCTAGGGCTGCCATGGGTAGACCTTTCAGAAAAGTCGGAGAGCAGAACGTTGGGAACTGGCCATGTAGTGATTTTCCGAGACCAAACACGATTCGCCATGTGTCAACTGTTTTGTTGGGTCGAGTCTAGACTTGGCCTCTGCAGTGCCCAGGAGTGCCCCGTGGTTCCGGCACGGTCTTGCAGGAAAAGGATCGAGTGCGACGTGGGGGGGGGGGGGGGGGGGGGGGGGCAGGTCGGGGTTTGTTCCAAGTGGGGGTTCCCGCAATCAGGGGTCCTGGTACCCCCCTCCTGCTTGGTAATTTGGGAGATGCTCAAAGTGAGGGTTTAGGGTTTTGTTGCTTGCTGGGTAGGATAGGATTAAACCCTCAACCCTACCGGAGTTTCGGCTCGGTTCATTCAGAGAAGCCGGGGTGTAGGGGTCGGGGTCGAGGGAATGGCTTTGACCGTAGTGCCTTTGGGTGAATGTCTACTATGGTATCAGATGTCCTGCCTGGGCTGGCTAGCTGGCTGTCGTGGGGAGGCCCTCAAGCCCAACTCCCCTAGACCCCACAAACCAAGCACCAAAAAGCCCAAATTCCCGCATCAGGAAAGCCTTTTTTCAAGAGTGCCCAGTTCGGGGCGATTCGGCCCCACCCTCACCACCAGCCCTGGTTCGAAACCACTAAGCCCAAGCTCTAAACCCTAAGCCCTAAACCCTTCTACTAAACCCTGAACCCAAAATCGGCTGGCAGAGATGCCCTCTTGCGCGAAACTGCCGTCGCTTCGAGGTTGAAGCGGCATGGTGAGCCCGCATGCAGCCGTGGGACGATTTGGGGGGTAGGGTACATGGTGTTGCTATGGGCACAGCTAGGTACCCTAAACCCTAAGTCCTAAACCCTAAACCCTCGAACCCTAAACCCTAAGTCCTAAGCCCTAAACCCTAAACCCTCAACTCTACTTCGGCACAAGCTCCGGTGGCATCCGGCCATGATCATGCACGCATGAATGGCGCGATGCTTCGCTCCCTTTCAGCACGCAACGCCGCGTGCTTGGGACAAGTCGAGGGTTTAGGGTTTAGGGTTTGGGGTTTAGGGATTAGGGTTTAGGGTTTGGGGAAACCCTATACCCGAAGCAGCCTAAACCGGCGAAATCCCTAGCCTGAATCACCTTGGGGTTGAGGGGGAAAAGTGGCAACCCTTTGCCTTAAGCCCAGACCCTAAACCCGACACCCCAAACCCTAAACCCCAAACCCTAAACCATAAACCCTGAGAGGGCTGACCGCGCGTGAGGTTCTGGGCAGCGAGCCTACGAGCTTCCAGCTGCCCCTGCGGCCAGCACCCAAGCTGTTGCGGCAGGGAGGAAAACTCAGGCCTCGCCCACCCGAAACCCGAAACCCTAAACCCGAAACCCTAAACCCTAAACCCGAAACCCTAAACCCTAAAACCCGAAACCCTAAACCCGAAGACCGTAAACCCCGAACTGTAAACCCGAAACACTAAGTCCAAAGCCCTATACTTAAGCCCGCCTCCCCAGGTATCAGTTTCAGAAGCTGCTGGGCAGTGGCAGCTATGGCCGAGCCGCCTTGTGTTCTCGGGTTAGCTGAGTGAGCACACTTTTTGGGACACTATACTCCCCTATAGAACTGAAAGTGTGCACTTTTATTTGGGGCTGATGAACTCAGCAACTACGTCGGGTAAACCCCCCAAAACCGGGAGCCTCCGTCAGAGTTGCGTTGGCTTGCAGTGCGGACAGTGGCGTCCAAGCTTTGAGCCCCCCCCTGAACCCTGAACCCTGAACCCTAAACCCTAAAGCCTAAACCCTAAACCCTGAACACCAACCTTTCGGTGCATGGCAGGGGTTGTCGCATCTTTCCGCGATGCCACGAAAGGAAAGGACGTGGCTGTGAAGCGAGTGCTGGGATCCCAGTTTAGGGTTTAGGGTTTAGGGTTTAGGGTTTAGGGTTTAGGGTTTAGGGTTTAGGGTTTAGGGGAGGTGCTTTCGAAAGAGACCCGGTCATCATCATTGACTGTTCTTCTGATTCTCCTGATTGTTAACAGGCACTTTTTCAATAAGCGTACTAACCGTTTCTATGTTTGTTTGATGCTATTCTTGTGGGCATGATTATTATGATGACCTAAACCCAAAATCCGAAACCCTAAGCCCTTAATCCTAAACCCTAGGCAAGTCTTTTTTTTTCAGATGCTCTTGGCACCCCAAGTCTACAAAGCCCGGAGAGTCGCGTGTGTTTGCAGGCGAAGGGTGTTTGACAACTTCCTGATGCTGCGGCGCACGCCGTTTCCTCAGCTTGTGCTGAGAAAACCCTCCGCCCTAAACCCGCCTAAACCCTAGACCCTAAACCCTAAAACCCTAAGCCCCAAACCCTAAACCCGAAAAGCCCAAAACCCTGACGCCACTCAGGCTCAGGGAGATTAAGTTGATGCGGCACTTCCGTCATCCAAATCTTCTGCAGCTTCACGAAGCTTCAGCCTCAGAGAGCACCCATGCAGGGTTCAGGGTTCAGGGTTCAGGGTTTAGGGTTTAGGGTTAAGGGTTTAGGGTTTTCAGGGTTTAGGGTTTAGGGTTTAGGGTTTAGGGCTGTGGAGTGTGTTTGCTCAGGTGCTCCTGGTGGAAACAGGCGCCGCCCCAAGTGAAGCAGCCCGGCTTACGCCGTGATTCAGCGCATCCCAGGCGGCGAGCTCTACATCTCCATGGAGCTAGCTGCCCAGAACTTGCCAAGGTTGTGCAGCACACGTGCAGCACTCGACGAGTTTCATAGACCTACACGTAGGATCCCTCTCGCCGCCCTTAGACGCATGTGACTCCGACATGGTAGAGTCTAGACCCTAAACCCTAAACCCTAAGCCCTAAACCCTAAACCCTAAACCCTAAACCCTAAACCCTATACCCTAAACCCTAAACCCTAAATCATGGTCCCTCTTTTGATTACGATTATAGTTGAAGGTGCCCCCCGAAATTGGACCTTAATTTCAAGACTTGCCTACCTGTAGTGATCTGACTTCGGGAATTTGGTACCTCATTATCCCCATGGGACCCCTTGAGGGGATATGGCGTTAGTCATGTGGAACATAGCGTGTCATACAGGGTTATATGAGGTTTAGGTTTAGGGTTGAGGATAGGGTGCAATTCCTTCCCAAGAGCCGCGAAGACAAGGCTGATGGACTGCGACTTAGACAGGCTCGTGAGAGGCAGGGCACACACAGTTGCCATGCATGTCGGATGTGGGTATTTAAAATAGGGCCCCTTTTGTACCCCAAATAGACTAGAATCCCCTTACCTTGACCCCCAAAAAGAGTACCCCCTATTTCCGGAAACACTCATGTAGCCAATGTACCCAAACCTGGGGTTGCCTCAAGACATTTGTTTTGTAAACTGTTCGAGAAGGTCTACATATCCCACAAAACCCTAAACCCTAAACCCTAAACCCTAAACCCTAATTTGATGTGCATGCGAGGCACGTTTGGCTGTCCGCTGTGACCATAAACCCCAAACCCCAAACCCCAAACCCTAAACCCTAAACCCTAAACCCTAAACCCTAAACCCTAAACCCTAAACCCTAAACCCTAAACCCTAAACCCTAAACCCTAAAACCCTAAACCCTAAACCCTAAACCCGTGATATCTGCCGGTTCATCTGGACGAGGCCGAGGCGCTGCTCTCGAGGAGTCCGTTGCACGGCGCTTCTGCGCACAGGTGGCCGTCAGGGTTTAGGGTTTAGGGTTTAGGGTTTAGGGTTTAGGGGTTAGGGTTTAGGGTTTAGGGTTTAGGGTTTAGGGTTTAGGGTGTAGGGTTTTAAGGTTTGGCCGCACGAGCAAGCCGTACAAGTCTGAGAGACAGACGCCCTGGCAGATCTTACTGGGCCTTCTCCACCTCCATCTTGGACATGTGATTCACCGGGACGCCGTGCATCTAAGGTGTTGGGGTGTCATCATGATCTTGCCTGGGCGGTCCTATCTTCTTGTTGGCTTTCGCGGACGCAGTTGCGATCCTTAAGCCCTAAACCCTAAACCCCAAACCCCAAACCCTAAACCCTAACCCTAAACCCTAAACCCGAAACCCTAAACAAACCTCTAAATACTTCATCCCGAAACCCCCTTCGGGTGAGGATCTGAAGCCGGCCAACATCTTCGTGCGCCTGAAGGAGTTGCAGGCAGTCGCGGAACGTGGACTGTTTTTGTAAGGTTTAGGGTTTAGGGGTGTTAGGGTTTAGGGTTTGGGGTTTCCCGGTTGATGATTCAGTCAGAGGGTTGAGAAGATTCCTATGCCAGGGCGCCGAGGGGTGGCTGCAGGGGTGGATGCGTACATGAGTAACCGCACTAGGTTTAGGGTGTAGGGTTCGGGTTTAGAGTTTTGGTGTTGCGATCCCCATGTTCCATATCAGTGACCGACCCCTTTTTGGGCTGAATCGAGTGTTATTGTGCTCGTTGCATCCGTTCGGAGATAGGGGCCGGGCAGTTGCCGCAAGCAGAAGGAGGGCCCCTCAAACAGAAAAGCCTGCGCTTACCCCTAACTACAGTAGTATATTTTTAAGCCTGAACCCTGCAAAGCCTACAAACCCTAGAAACCCTACGACCCTGTAGCCCCATAAAGACCCGGCGGCAAGTCGTGGATGCTAAATCAACCCTAAACATTAAACCCTATACTCTGAACCCTAAACCCGACACCCTCAACCATGCCAGGTGAAGATAGGAGACCTCGGTCTGAGCCGCGGCATTGCCGTGGATTTCGCTGGAGAGGCAGGCTGTGTGTGTGGGTTAGGGTTTAGGGTAGGGTCTAGGGTTTAGGATGTAGGGTTGAGGGTTTAGGGTTGTGTTTCACCAATTCCTGGACCTGCACACGAAGGTCGCTTGCTCAGCAGTCTTGGCTCGACCAGACGCATGTCCGCACTATCCACAATAGCCATCCTAGTTACATAGGCCCGCTACATTACACTCCTGTGTGCCAAGGGTGCCAAGGGAAAGCACAAACCATTGATGCTTGCAAGTTTTAAGCCGGGGGCAGCAGCGCCCATACAAGCTCCTCCGCGAACATAGCAGGTCTGTGGAGACATCCCGTTAACGCACCTGCCGCAGCTTTGCAATGCTGATGACCTAGTACTTCCCTAGATCCCAACAGCGACGGCTCCTTCGAAAAAGGGTGCGAACCTGCGCCTAAGGGGAACGCTGTCGTTCTATGTTGGGGCCTTGTCTTTTCCTGGGCACCTTTCATATCAGGGCTGCTTGGGGTTGATTCAATCAAGGGGGCCTATTTGAGGGGAACCCAGAAGAATCTACCAATTTGCGCGCCCCACCCTTCACGCCAGGCTCTCCATCCGTTGGAGGAACATCTCACGGAGTACGTGGTTACCCGCTGGTGCGCCCGTTCCAGCAATGTTCAGGTACATAGTATGTATCTGCTTTCTTTGCATCATGCACATATATATATATATATAAATATACAAATAGATAAATAGATAAACAGATAAATGAATAAATGAAAATTAAATATAAATATAAATATGTATGTACATACATATATATATATACATGTATGCATGTATGTATGTGTTCACCCCCCTATTTTGTTCTCGTTCTCATCGCAGAGCCGTCGACTGAGCTGCGCGGTTGACACTAGCCAGGTATCGTGCGCCGGAAGTGCTGCTTGCGAGGTCCAAGTATGGGACCGCCACCCAGCGATCTTCCGTGTAAGGGTTTCGTTTCGGAAGTTTTTCTGACTTGCCCCAGTGCTTGACAGGCCTCCACAGGCTCGCTTTGATTCGCTGGACAGCAAAACGACAAAGCTACATCCTAAATCCTAAACCCGAAACCCTAACCCCTAAACCCTAAACCCTACTCCTGAACTGGAAGCTCCAGGCCCAAAGTGGATGTTTGGTCCGTGGGCTGCATCCTCTACGAGATGTGGACGGCAAAGGTAGGGGTTTAGGGTTTAGGGTTCAGGGTTTCGGGTTCGGGGTTTAGGGTTTAGGGTTGAGGCTTCAGAAGGTGCTTCAGGCTAGGCTTACAAGAACCACCCACCTCCCTCAAAGATCCTCCCCCCCCCCCCCCCCCCTTCCAAGCCCCTCAAGAAAAAACTCAGCTCAGGTCAACCCTGGGCCCGAGTCCTTAAACCATTTTCGATAAGCCCTTTAAGCCTACTAGTTCCATAAGCCCTGCAACCCCTAAACCCTTGCAAGCCGTAAATCTTAAAGCCTAAAGCCTAACGCTTAACGCCCCAGAACCCTGAGCCCTGCCCTAGAACCCCAAACCCTTATAAGCCCTAGAACCCTCAGACCTTTAAGCCCGAGAACCCTAAACCCTTAACAGCCCTACAACCCTAAGCCCTATAAGCTACTGCATGTCAGTTGAAGGTTCATGACATGTAAGAGGTGGCAGGCTCCGCTCTCCTAGATTAGTGTAAGGATGATTGTGTTTGAGGCTATGCCCAAGAACCCCCAAAACACAAAATAATATTCCTCAGAGTTCCCTTATCAGGAAGAACATCTTATTTTGTTTTTATTTTTTGGTAGTCCTTAAGCAATTCGTAGCCCTAACCCGAAACCCTAAACCTTTTTTATCAGGGTTGTCTGGTTGTAAAGCTTCAGAGGATATCGAGTTCAGAAAGTTGGAGGCTTTTTCGGGGCAATGCAACCTTCCCCCCAACAACCATACTGGGGTTTCGGGTGTAGGGATTAGGGTTTGGGGAAGAGCAGGCCCTCTTCCCCGGCAAGAACAGCGTGGATCAACTGACGAAGGCCAGTGTCCTTGGGTTGTATAGGGGTATATAAGGGGTGGGTCCCCATTTTAGGCCCCCCCCCCCATTTAAGGGCACATACTAAGGGACCATGCAACTACCCTAAGACTTTGGAGAGCGCCGGCGGATTGTGCCTGCCGTTGGGGGTTCAGCCTTGACAGGCTCGTAGGGATTGGGGTGGTTCAGGGCATGGGGTCCCTCCTCCTAAGCCCAACACCCTAAACCCAAGCCGTAAACCCCCAAACCCCCAAACCCCCAAACCCCTAAACCCCTAAACCCCTAAACCCCTAAACCCGTAAACCCGTAAACCCTCGAAGCCTTGAGCCCCAAACCCTAACTCCGAAACCTTAAAGCCTTAAGGTTTGCAGGGTTTACAGATACCCCCAAACCCACCAAACTCTAAACCCTCAGCCCCTAAACCCACAACCCCGAAACCTTAAAGCCTTATGGTTTACAGGGCACACAGAGAATCCGTGACCCTGCACCCTAAACCTTAAACCCTAAACCCCTAAACCCTAAACCCTAAACCCTAAACCCTAAACCCTAAACCCTAAACCCTAAACCCTAAACCCTAAACCCTAAACCCTAAACCCTAAACCTTAACCCCCAAAACCTTGAAGCCTGAAGGTTTGCAGGGTTTGCAAATATTCCGTGGACTTCGCCCTTGTGCTGCGAGGTGATGGCTGTCTTGGGGTCGCCATCTGAGCAGTCGGCCTCCTACAGTGCTTTCGGTTTGGGGTTTAGGGTTTAGGGTTTAGGGTTTAGAGTTTAGGGTTTAGGGTTTAGGGTTTAGGGTTTAGGGTCTAGGGTTTACACGCAACTTGACCCTACACCCCGGTGAGCCTTAAAGTCCTAGACCCTTCACAGTTTAGGGTTTAGGGCTTAGGGTTTAGGGCTTAGGCTTGAACCTGCAAAGCCACTACAAATGCCCCCCCCCCCCCCCCCCAAAACGAACCCCAAAACAATCCTCTCGACAGCTGCCACCTCTCAGCCTCGCCGATCCAAATCGTGGGGCTGTTTCAGGGTCTCGACTTTCGCCCTGAACCCCAAAACAACAGTGTGGGCACCAAACAGCAACCCATGTGAGGGCTGAGTTCCCCAAATTAGGGCCCTTTTGGGGCGTCCCGGTTTGTTTAGGTTTAGGGCTAGGGTTTAGGGTTTAGCGTTTAGGGTTTAGGGTTTAGGGTTTAGGGTTCAGGGTTCAGGGTTCAGGGTTCAGGGTTTCTGCTCATGCTGCCATGTGTGCCTGATTGCTGAGGGACCAGTGGTGGATTCCGAAGGCAGGGGCGGCGCTTTGCGGGCTTCTCGCAGTCTAAGGATTTTCGGGTTTCGGGTTTAAGGTTCAGGGTTCTGGGGTTTAAGGCTGGACCCTAGACCCTAGACCCTAGACCCTAGACCTTAAACCCTAAACCCTAAACCCGAAACGCTGAACCCGGTCGGCGGGAGCTTCGTTGCAGGAGTCGAGGTCGCTGCTGGCACGTAGCACCTCCACCGCTCGACCCAGAGGCCTTGCGAAGCTGTCCGGCGCCCCAGAAGCCCCAGAAGCCCCTAAACCCTAAACCCTAAAACCTAAACCCTAAACCCTAAACCCGAAACACTAAACTCTAATTAAACCCTAAGCCCTAAGCAAACCCTAAAGCCTAAACCCTAAAGCCTAAACCCTAAGCCCTGAACCCTAAACCCTAAGCCTAAACTCCAACCCCTAAGCCCTAAGCCCTAAGCCCTAAGCCCTAAGCCCTAAGCCCTAAGCCCTAAGCCCTAAGCCCTAAGCCCTAAGCCCTTAGCCCTAAGCCCTAAGCCCTAAGCCCTAAGCCCTAAACCCTAATTAAGTCCTAAACCCTAAGCCCTAAGCCCTAAGCCCTAAACCCTCAACCCTAAGCCCTAAACCCTAAGCCCTCAACTGGTTTGTCTAGGGTAGGGGATGTTTCCCCCGAACCTGAACCCCGAATCCATACCGAGGCCTGGAATACCGGGGCAGCAAGGCGCTCACCTCAGAGCAGCTTCAGTTTTTGGGTTCGGGTTCAGAAGGGGTTCAGGGTTCAGAAGGGGTTCAGGGTTCAAGGGGTTCAAGGGGTTCAAGGGGTTCAGGGGTTCAGGGTTCAGGGTTCAGGGGTTCAGGGGTTCAGGGGTTCAGGGGTTTAGGGGTTTAGGGGTTTAGGGGTTCAGGGGTTCAGGGGTTTAGGGTTTGGGGGTTTAAGTTCTTTTTGTTTTCTTGGCGGGGGAAGTGGGGTGGCTGATATCCCATGTTCCACTTCTGCAGCTTCCTCTGCGTGCAGTAGCAGCTCACCCTGAACCCGAAACCCTAAACCCTAAAACCAGAACCCTAAAACCCACCCTTACTTAAAAACCCCAAAAAACCATTATAAAAAACCCTAGCAAACCCTAAAAGCCGGGAGGCGAGGACTTCCTCACCCAGCTGCTCTGCTTCGATCCTTCCCGGCGGCTGTCGGTCGCAAGGGTCTTAGATGGCTTCATTGCTACAGGCCCTTATAGTAGGGTTTAGGGCAGTTTAGGGTTTAGGGTTTGAGGTTTAGGGTTTAGGTTTTAGGGTTTAGGGTTTAGGGTTTAGGGTTAGGGTTTAGGGTGTAAGTTTAGGGTTCAGGGTTTAGGGTTTAGAGTTTAGGGTTTAGGGTTTAGGGTTTGCTGTAATATGGCAGAATCTTCGTAGCCCAGTACCCTTTTTTTGGTTTATGGGCTCCCTTGCAAAAAAACAACTCAAAGAGATGCCCTTACTATATTAATATGGTTACAGGGCTACCAAGTTCTTGCGAATCTGATGATGATGATGATCCCAGACCCATGGGAGGATCCAGCAAGTAGATCCCTTGAAGGGTTCCTAAGAATGACCCAATTGTCGTGTGGGGTACTACTTGTGGGTTATACCTTTGCATTGCTTTGAGTATCATCATGGTTTTCTTGTTATAGCTGGGTTTATGATAGCATTGTTTTGATCATTTTTAAATGGCTATTTGTTGCTATTGCTTCTGTTGCTGCTACGGTTGTTGATTTTGCTATTGCTGCTGTTACTGTTGCTATTGTCATTGCCATTTTCATTATTTTTGTGGTGGTTGTCATCTTTCACTATGCTTATGCATTTTTTCTTATTAGTATCGTCACTATCCGCAGCACCATATCTTTGTTGTTGTTATGATCAGTATGGTAGTCATGAATATGTTCTGTTGACATCGCTCATGGAATTTACGTTCCTTGCACTTTGCATTGTGATTCTCGCTACATCATGAAGTATGGCTTTCATTTCAGGGTTTGTTAACGTTAAGAAACCCTAAAAACCCTAAAATCGTTTTTAACTTGTAAAACTCTAAATGCGGCTGTGTGGACGAGGGGTCCATGTGGCCGTATTCGCCGTGCCATTGCGGAAAGACAGCTGGCAGTCCGCAGGCAGCTCCAAACACAAGTAGTTCTGTCGCCCATCCAGCTGAGTAGCGGGCTTTCTTCTGGTGATCCCTAAACCCTAAACCCTATTTAATTCCTAAACCGTAAACCCTATACCCAGAACCCTCTGTTTGCGATCAGGAGAACGCATTGACGCGGCCTGAGAGCATTTTGTGCGGTAGCTCGCATGCCAACGTTGAACAATCGGCTGGTCATGTCGTTGTACAGGTGCAGGGGAGTGCTGGAGAACCAGAAGCCCTAAACCCTAAACCAAGTATTAAGCCCCTGGCATCGCATGAGGCTACATCCCTACTTGCAGGGCCGGGCACTCACGTCGATGGCGGCAGGGAGATTCTTGTCAAGTCGGAACATGCACGCGCGTTGCTCGGGCCATCGCTCCGGCTCCTGCACTGACACCACAACAACTACGACGACGACGACTGCTGTTACGACGACGGTCGCGACGATGATTACGACGACTGCGGCGGTGTGGGCCCTTTTCCACCACATGTCACTTTTCTGTTGGGAGTGCCATGCCAAGCATACACGACGACGACGACGACGACGACGACGACGACGACGACGACGACGACGACGACGACGACGACGACGGTTCTTGCTACTCCGTTGAATGCTTCATCTTTTGCATCCGGGTTCTTGCTCCCGAGGTTGCGTCCAAGAAGCAGAGCTTGCGAGCCTGAAGGCGCAGACCCGCAAGCTTGTCGGGAAGGAGTTATGATTCACCCTCAACCCTAAACCCTGCGGAAGTAACATGAGGTGGTGGAGCCGGCCGATGTGAGCTATGACCAGCAGTTCGATGGCATCAGCAAAGGCCATGGTCTCAGGATTCAGTTCTGCTCAGGGTTTAGGAGCTTAAACCTTGAATCCTTTTTGAGCACTTGCGCTGACCCTCTAAGTCTCTAAGTGGATGGCCATCCCAGATCTTGCACCCGCTCAGGTGGAGAACCTTCAGCGCTGCCCTCAAGTGGTGTCCTTCTATCACAAGCCCACATGCGCTCGCGGGTAAAACGACCCTAAAAGCCCCTAAGCCCTAATGGCTATGCACCCCTGCGCTGGGTTGCTGCTCCATTGAATGGAAGCCATGTTCCGTGCGGTTTGAGGTTTAGGGTTTCACCTACGACCGGCTGGTGGGGAGAGGTTGGGTGTAGGGTTCAGGGTCAGGAAATCTTCGTGTCACGCAAGGGAAGGCTACCATCAGAAATGCGGTGGTGTAGTGTTCCTCAGCATTATCTTATCCAAGGACAGAGAGTCGGCCCTTATGCACTTTTTCAAGGGTGTAGGTTCCCTCAGAATCCCTTTAAACCAAAACGGGTACCCTTTTTATTCCCAGGCTACTTCTGGGCCTTAGTTGGGATGTTCCCCTTATACTAACAGTCCTTAATAGGGATTTTCGTACCCTCCTATAGTCCCCATTGAGGACTGTTAGTATAAGCGGGAACCCCTAAATCCTAAACCCTAAACCCTAAACCCTAAACCCTAAACCCTAAACCCTAAACCCTAAACCCTAAACCCTAAACCCTAAACCCTAAACCTTAAACCCTAAACCCTAAACCCTAAACCCTAAACCCTAAACCCTAAACCCTAAACCCTAAACCCTGAACCCTAAACCCTAAACCCTAAACCCTAAACCCATCATCTTGCCTTGTGCTGCGTGCAAGGCTCTGTCGAGGCTGGCCCAGATGCTGCGCCAGGAGGTGCCCTGCCTCAGTCGCTGCCGTCTGTTGGCGTCCATTGAACCCCTAGCCCTTGGATCCTAAACCCTAAACCCTAAACCCTCAACCCTCAACCCTAAACCCTCAACCCTCAACCCTAAACCCTAAACCCTACACCCTACGCCCTAAACCCTATACCCTATACCCTATACCCTGAACCTAGGTTTACCTCCACCCCCCATCGTTTTCCATCACCCTAGGGTTTAGGGTTTAGGGTTTAGGGTTTAGGGTTTAGGGTTTAGGGGTTTAGGGGTTTAGGGGTTTAGGGGTTTAGGGTTTAGGGTTTAGGGTTTAGGGGTTTAGGGTTTAGGGTTTAGGGTTTAGGGGTTTAGGGTTTAGGGTTTAGGGAGGTGCTGCCAAACGATGGGGGGGTGACGTAGGTTTAGGGCTTCCTTGGCTACTCATTGGGCAGGTCAACTATGCGCGCGTGACGCGCAGATCTCCCCGCTCCGTCAGCCGTGTCCTGGAAGCACTCACCATCTCCGCTGTTCTTTGGTTTGGCCAGCTCTAAACCCATTCTAAACCCTAAACCCTAAACCCTAAACCCTAAACCCTAAACCCTAAACCCTAAACCCTAAACCCTAAACCCTAAACCCTAAACCCTAAATGGTACTCCCTTTCGAGTGCCGCCGAAGGGCTGCGGGTGCAAACTCGGCGTGCATAATGTGGGTTTGGCCTCCAAGAGCCCTGTAAGGTGATCCATCCTTCGCGCGCCTTCGGCCAAATGGGCCAAAAGCCGATGATGCCCAGCCACATGGGCCACTCGGATTTAGGGTTTAGAGTTTGGGGTTTGGGGTTTAGGGTTCAGGGTTCAGGGTTTAGGGTTTAGGGCTAGGGTTTAGGCTTAGAGTTTAGGGTAAGTTCAGGAAGTTCAGGAAGGGAAGTTCAGGAAGTTCAGGAGGTTCAGGGTTCAGGGCTCCAGTATGCCCTAACCTCCGCAGGCTGATCCTGCGCAGTGCCGCCCAGGTAGCCCTGGGTTTAGGGGTTTAGGGGTTTAGGGGTTTAGGGGTTTAGGGGTTTAGGGGTTTAGGGTTTAGGGTTTGGGGTGTAGGCTTGCTGCTAAGGAGCAAAGAATTCAGCAAGTCTTATCGGTAGTTGTCTGAAGTGGGGCCCCCAAATTGGATTGGGTCCTTATTGTAAGGCTACCGTACTAAATTCGGGACCCTCCAAGGAACTGACTTAGAGAAGCACCATTCTAAGTACGACATGATGGTGCCATTGCATCCCGAATCCCAATTACAGAGTGGCTCATATTTAATTCCCGAACAAGGGACCATAGTTTGGAGAACTGACCCGTTCTCCGTATAAGTACGATGAGGAAAGCGGCTTTATTTGCTGAGCTTCTGCTACCCATCCCCATAGTGTGGCTAAAGTTCCTCAACAGCAACCCAGTCAAACTATTCGCAAGTACACTAGCAGACTTCGAGATGTTTGAGGCGACAAGGGGCCACCTCCCTGCGTTCTGCGGAAGCCGATGCCTCGCGTAGTGCCTGGGTGACTGAGCCTAGGCGTTTTTGCTTTGTAGTGTGATTGTTGGTTTTACAGCTTTGTAGTTAGGGTTTAAGGTTTGGAACTTATGGGTTTTTCAGATTTTTCAGATTTTGCAGGGTTCATGGGGTTTAGAGTCCGATCGATCCCCATTCTCCTGCACAGGCGCCCCGAAGATGGGTGGTCCTGGCAGCCAAAGGGTCAGGCAGACGCCGGCTGTTGACCGGCGCCAAAACCGGCTGAGCAACGCTGGCAGCTATCAGAAGCTCCATTCCAAGGGCGACGTGGGGGAGGGCAAGGGCGAGGTTGGCAGGGCTGTTGCTGCGGACGTCCTGGACCTCCAGTGCCTGCCGTGCGGCGAGCTTAGCAAGCCAGACCCCGCAATGGCGCAAGGCGTGCCCACATCGGCAGCGTCCACCCCATCCGACGCCAAACCCAGCAGTGGCAGGCTCCAACGCCGTGCGACGGTGCCCGCAGCAGCGATCCCATGTGCTGCAGGGCTGCGGAGCCGCGCCGCATGGAAAAAGGCACTTGCTGCAGCTCAGACAGCCAGAGTGGTGGTGGACGGCGAAGGGCATGAAGGGCCCGACGTGACGCCGAGACCCAAAGGCAGCAGCGAGCGCCAGGAGAGCGCTCAGAAAGCGGCTTATCCCTTCACCAGGCGGGACTCGCAGCGTGACAGTGGTAGTACTGCCACAATGGTTGCCGAGCCCACGCGAAGAGCAGATGAGCCTCCCACATCCACCCAGCTTGCCAAGGCATCCAACGCAGATCAAGAGGCCTGGATTGCAGAGGAGCTGCAGATGTTGCAAAAGAAGCAGGAGCAGCAGGAAAGGAAGCTGACGGAAGTGTTGGGAAAGTCCCAGCAGCTTTCAAAATCCGCCTTCAAGGCAAAAGAGGCCTCAAAGCAGTCGGCCGCAGAGCCGTCAGGCCCAGGGCCCGAGGTGGGAGTTTCCCAACATCGGGACCCGAAAATAGACCCTAAATAGTAGGATCCCCTATGATCCCCTCAAATAATAGACCCCGATAAGGTACCCTCATAATTTCGGAAGCCCCTCAGGTGTCGTCACAGCCCCGGGCTGCGAAGACGAAGGAGGCCTCCAAGGATTCGAAGGAGGCTTCCGCCGCACCTCATGTTCCTTGGTAGCCCAGTGGTACCCTGTACCCTTTTTTTGGCTAATGGGTTCCTTGGTAAAATAACCCCTAAACCCTAAACCCTGAAGCTGAACCCTTAACCTTAAACCCTAAACCCTAAACCCCAAACCCCAAACCCCAAACCACAAACCCCAAACCCCAAACCCCAAACCCTAAACCCTAAACCCAAGACTCGCGCCCGGGACGCCGACTCCCCCTCCCGAAGCCTCCGTGCCGCGGCCGCCTTCGCCAGCGACCGGGCGCTGCCGGACTCTAGGTAGGCCTTTGGGATGGTTCTTGGCATTTTCCCTTCTTGGGGTTTAGGGTTTAGGGTTTAGGGTTTAGGGTTTAGCCCCTTCTTGGGGTTAAGAGGACCCTCTTTAGGAACCATTGGGCTTAAGAGGATCATGATTAGGAATGTTTTCAATGCCCCCTATTAAGTTAAGAGGATCAGAATATTTTTCAGAGGGGTGTAAAAGGGCCTTCTGAGTCTTGTTTGGGTTCAGGAGGATTTTACCCTAAACCCTAAACCCTAAACCCTAAACCCTAAACCCTAAACCCTAAACCCTAAACCCTAAACCCTAAACCCCTCATACTTGGAAATCTCTTTCAGAGTGCTTTAACTTTAACACGTGGCCATCCGAGGACTTGGAGCCCAGCCTCTGGGACCAACTCCTCGAGGAGGCCGAGCGCGACCAGGCCCCAGGAATTCTAAAGAGGGGCCCCCCAGGCATAGCTTGGACGCCCCTAAACCCTAAACCCTAAACCCTAAACCCTAAACCCTAAACCCTAAACCCTAAACCCTAAACCCTAAACTAGAGCGAGCTGCGGGTCCTGCGATAAGCAGCAGCGAGCGATACCGCGTGGCGCCAGCCCGCGGACGAGCCCGAGCCGTCCGGCGAAGCCTGGCGAGGGCTCGGGGCCAGTGCGCGCGATGAGCGCGGCCCACGCATAGAAGGGTGGAACCCGCGTGCCAGCGTCAGTCTGGCCCCAAAGAGAATAACCCTAAACCCTCGGTTTTAAAGTTAAAACCACGCATCCTTCCCCGTAAGGGGCCTT